CATATGGACACATCAAGTGAGTGAAAGTCGTCAATCTCAGTAATCGTTTCCATCATTATGTCAGCCCTTGACAAGTTTCCACTGTTTCGACAAAGACTCGTACAGGGCTCTCCATCGAGTGTTCCTCGAACAGACGAGCAGGCGGGATGCACACTGCCTAGTACACACGGCCTGTCTGGTTGAGAGCCCGCGCCAAGACACCGCTGCGAGCGGGGATTGTGCCGTTCAACAAAGTGCGAGGTGAGATAGGCACCGTCTCAGTTGCATTGTCGCTGCGAACATCGAAAACATGAAAGCCGGTGCTGTTGGTGCTCGAGAGCGATCTCCGGAAGCTTTTAGGAGGCAGGGGAGACTTGCGGGTCAGGTTGAAGCTCCGAGGGTAGACGGAATGGTCATCCCCAGGCAAAGGTGTCGGCCAAGCTGCCACATTTTTTGATGATGGAATGCATGAGCTGGACGAAGGTGTGGCCCATGAAGAGGGAGTGATGACTGGTGTAGACGTCAATGTTGGCATATTGGTCACCGTGACGGTCACGGGAGCCTGAGGGATGCTGGGAGCGGTCACAGTCTGAGTCTGGGCCTCAATCACAGAGCTGGTGTCGATGCCGTTGGGATTGGCGCCGCCAACATTAACAACAGAGTAGGGCTCTTCTTGTCTGCGCACGAGGGTGTTGCTTCCCAGTCGGGGTACAGCGATGGGCACTGCTTGTGTACCGAGGACAGAGATGAAGAGAATTGCCGCGGGAGAGAAATGCATTTTGGATTAGATAGATCCTTCAAAATCAAATAGGATAGGATAGAATGCTATAAGTCCGAGGCCGTTGCGAAGAAGATAGGTGCGAAAGAGATGTCGTTGATAATACTCAAAAGTCCGCTACACCTTCCAGTCACCAACAATATATATCACAAAACGCCAAACCCAATCCACACATTCATCATCATGATTTAACAGAAAAAGAATACCAAAAATCATGCAGGCTGGTGGCCGTCGTAGCCTGCATCGACTTAATCCACTCATCCGAGATCCACACTAGGAGGCTGGGAAAAGGCAGCAGCACATCGCACTGGACCAGCCACGATGATTCCAAGCTGTCATGACATACTTTTCGACTCTTCAATCACCAGGAGCAATTAACTGCCGATCTTGAGCATGTTTATCCTGCTGATAGTTGCTTGGCACCATAACGATCGACTGAACAGTAGGCTCGACCTTAACATTAACGTTGTGGTACAGACAGTTAATCATGCATCGCCGCCAAGCATCGCCGGACGGCTGTTGTGGCTGGCGGATCCACCGCTCGTGGGTCTTCTATCTCTCATGCTATTGATAGAATATTCGTCATGATGGGTGATCAGTCAAAGGGAATCATGGTGAGGATCGCTGATTCACAATATGATAAGCTTCAGAAGAGACCCCGCTGTTCAGGCGTGTCTAGCAGACGTGAATGCAACAATATAGATGTAACTATTACAACAGCTCTAAGAATAGTCGTTGAGAATGTGTTACGCAGTCTCATCCTCACAAGACAATGATTAGTGTACGGATCTCTAGTACATATGAGGATTGCCTATGATAATGGAACATCCGTGTGCTCAGCTGTACTACTCAGAAGATCTGCAATGTTGAGATTTCAATGATGCAAAAGATTGGGTTATTCTCCAAAGGTGATGACGCTTGGGAAAATTCGAAGAACGTCATTGGGAGCATGCTGTCGTGGCTTGAAAAGAACAAACTTGAGACACAGCGGAATACGGCGCCGGTACAGGCAGGCGCAATGGTGTGGAACAGAAATGCAATCAGTGACACCGGAGATTGTCTCTCCTCTGATCATACCGGACTCACTTCTTTGCTAGGGGCACCTGGAGATGTGTATATCCAGCAAGATGGATGGCCGCCGATCGATCTCCCAAGCCACCTGGACCTTGCAGATTACATTGAAGCTCAAGCAGCGGTTGATTGGGATGCTCGTCTTTGGCAGGGGATGCTCGATAGCCTTACTTGGTCCAGCATGGCAATCGGCAGTCCGACTGATTTTGGTGGAGTTAATATGGTTTGAATAGTAAGTATGGTAGCGTACGAGCCAGTTCAACAGTGTCTCCTTTCTTCAGTCCCGCCATCTGGAATATCTTAGATTGCCAAATCCTCGACCCGAATCAATCCACATCCCAGTCCAGCACTGGCCCATCCCGCACACAACTGGTTAGGATTCCAGGTCAATGCAGTAACGTGCCTCGGTTCGTCAAAGATGGTAATCATCATCGTGCCGTTGACCATCCTACGATCACCTACCATGTTGCGCAAGAGACTGAAGCTCTCAGCGCGGTAACCGTCAATGAATCGACTAGTCCCCGCGCTGTCCGCATCTTGCCCGCGCGCCCATTCGTGTGTGAACCAGGTCTGCTGCCACTGTTTCTCTTTGGGGTGCACTAATCGGCGGATGGGGCTTGTCGCAATGACTTCGCCACCTGCGCAGCCCAGGAGGACGCTTGGATGCCAGAAGCTGCACGGCGCAAGAGCGGATACCGTACTTGGTAGCCTTGCCACTGCCGTTGTGGTGAAGAAGCGCCGCACGGCGAGGAGCCGTGCAAAATCGTTCTCGTCGCTTGAGATGAACGCATGGAGCAAGGGAGAGTAGGCAGCATGGGGCGACGCCATTCGCATACGGGTCGTTTCCACGGTGTCCTTCTGATAATCGACGATTGAGGTCAAGCGGGTTTCCCCGTCCATAGACGTCGTACACAGCAGGTGAGGATGAGTTGGGTAGGCCGACGCCAGATTCAGGATATAAGTGCGGTGAATTGGTTCGTAGAAGTAAGGTAGAGGGGCTGAAGAGGATTCTTCTGACGCTATAATGCTCCAGATAGCAACAAAGCCGTTGGCACAACCAACAGCAATATCAGTGGGAGAAAGCCAAGCGGCGCATGTGCATACTGTCGACGGGGGCTTGGCCTCGAAAACTGGAGTGTGGACCTTGTCTACAGATCGTCAGCTGAAGGTCCATCAATAGTCCTCTGTTGGTCTACTTACTGAACTCTGTGGCATTCGGGTTCCGGCTCAGCTTGACGTCAATAACTCGAACATAGCCGTCTCCCCAGACTCCAGCCAGAAGTCCCAGGTTCCTTAAAGGATCTTCGTCATCCTCGTCCCGTGCAGCCCGGGGCATAGGACACCAAGCGATTCGTCGCAAGTCACCCCAGTCGGTACACAGAGCCAACCGCAGCCTCGGTTTAATGCTCATATCAAGGGTCTTCGTAAAGCTGTCTTCTCGTTTGGCTTTGAACGCCCATATTTGCAATGTACAGGGGTAAGGAGCAGAAGATCTGAACGGAAGACCGGCTTGATGCTTCAAGGGGTCTGGGTAACCTTCCTTCTGTTCCTTGGTGATGGGCACCACGACGCCAAGGTACTGCGTGAGACCGGGCTGATTGGGTGCCCAAGCCATGCATTGAATCTTCTGTCCCAGATTGAGCAGCCACCCTTCGCGTAGCGGTTTCTTTGATTCCGTTGAATTCTTTGCTGTCCCGCTCTTCGTCGCCCCAGGTTTCCAGGCATCGCCGAAATTGGCGGACTCATTCTGCCCTAGCCGGAACCTTTTCTGAGAATCCACTGGCCCTATTAATACTGTCTGCTTCTTCCCCTGCTGCGCCAGATACCGTGAGCGAGCCTCCTCCTCGTCTATTTTCTCGATCCGCTGCCTCTTGCGGAACCGCCCCCCAACATCATCGGCGTAGTACCAGTCCCAACCACGAGTACTCTCCTTCCTGACCTCCTCCGGTTCAACGCCAAAAGTTGCGCCATACGTGTAGTCAGGAAACTTCTCTGCTTCATTCAATGAAGAACGCGTAGGAAACGTTGAATCAACGCCCTTGGCCCATCGGTCCCGCGTATACACCATGGACAGTAGATCCCTCTCGTCAGTTCCAAAGGTCACCTTCATGTGGGTCAGCTTTCCCACATGCTCGCCGGGATTCCACGTCCCCCGGACGTGAGTCTCATCGTCAGCAATAGCGACAGTGCCGTCCTCGTGTCGTCGCCTGGGATTCTTGACTCGCGAAGACCTGGCTTTTTTGGGCTTCTTTGAATCGGTTTCGTCCTCCTCGTCGGAGACGAATTCATCATCGTCATCGGGGACGTCAACCATCTCTACGTCTTCATCTTCGCCTTCTTCAACTTCATCCTTTTCATTCTGGACATCTTCGTACTCCTCGTCCGAGGAATCATCTGCTAGGACAGGCTGCTTAGCTTTTCGCCGAGAAGAAGTTGTTCCTTCTCTTGAGTCCGATTCACCACTGACTCCTGCGATCTCAAAAGGATCGCTTGTGTATCTGGCCCTTGCCCCGGTTCGGCGGTTGGACCTGCGTGTATGAGGCATCTGGCGATATCCCTAACGCCCTGGCTTCTTGATGATGTTGTTGAAAGTGACGACTTCAATGACTATATCTAACGACCATTCTTTTTATAAGATCACATCCTCTGAAGTGGTGAACCGATCCTATTCATCAAAGACTAATCAGTCAATTGATGGCATATAGGTGAGAATGTACCAATTGTTTGATCAGCAGGAACAGAGCTGTTCGTGATACAAAACGACGGGAAGATCTTCGTATCGACAACAGGAGCAGATGAGGGTCTTGGCGTAATTTTACGTCCTCAAAACACCCAGTGACCTCATCGATACCCCACCCACCATCATCAATGGCGCATCAACAATACAAATATCTAATTTTCAAGAGGACGGCGTTGCTGTTTTAATATAAGACTGATTCAGTAGTCGAGTTGATCATTGTCGTGAGGTGCATTTCGAGGACAGGCTTCAAATGTAGGCCCCGCTCTAGTGGAGCTACGTCCTGATATCATCGGTTCTGCGACAGATCTGCCTGTCCTACGACTACTACCACAAACTAACCATTTATCTACACAGCAGGTAATTGATAATCAGTTCCCTCACGGACAAAATCGATAGTTTCTTCTTCATATATCTGAAACAAAGGCTTAAATCATGTCCAAATCACACCCAGGAACACTGCATGAATATGTAATTCCAGAAGCATTATACCAACACTTCAACGGATCAAGCACAAGCTGACTGAGAGAAGGCGCCCAAGCTAGTCGCCTTTGAATTCACCAGCTCCACATCCCGAAAACCACACAGTCTCATCTTCATCGGCGGCCTGACAGATGGCCTTTGCACCGTCCCCTATGTAGCACCCCTCGCCGCCGCCCTCGAACCAACCGACTGGTCCGTCTTCCAGGTCCAGCTCTCCTCCTCCTTCGGTGGCTGGGGCATAGCCAGTCTCGACAAGGATGTCGAGGAGATCGCGAAATGCATCGACTTCGTCCGCACCCTCAAGGCCTCGTCCGCCTCGGCATCGGCACCAGGGAAGATCGTCATCATGGGCCATTCGACTGGAAGCCAGGATGTGTTGCACTACCTTTATACTCAGGGAAACCGTCCTGTAGTCGACGGTGCGATCCTGCAAGCGCCAGTGTCCGATCGTGAAGCCCTGCTGGCGGAGACGCGCAAGCCAGGCGATGTGGGTGCCGAGGCAAAGGGCTCATGGGAGCAGCTGGTTTCACTGGCGCGCCAGGCTCCCGTAGGCGATATCATTCTACCCTTGAATCTGAGCAGCAAGGTTGGCTTGCCGCCTGACCCTGTCAGTGCGCGGCGGTTCTTGAGTCTAGCAAGTCCAGATAGTCCTGGCAAGCCGGCAGAGGATGATCTGTTTAGCTCGGATTTGACGGATCAGCGGCTGCGCGAGACGTTTGGGGCTGTGGCAACGCGGGGGTTATTGAGGTCCAAGCTGCTGGTGCTGTACTCGGGGAACGATGAGTTTGCGGCGCCGTGGGTGGATAAGGAGGCGCTGATGGCGCGGTGGAGGGAGGCGACAGATGCTGGGAAGGCTAGGACGTGGGATCAGAATAGCGGGATCATACCGGGGGCAAGTCACAATGTCAAGGATCAGGGGCAGGCTAATCTTGCTGAGCGCATTACTCGCTATCTGAACGGTATCTAGTTTTGCACCCATGTGAGATGATAATGAGATGAAATCATGTCGTAGTTTTCACGTTTTATTGTACACACAGGCCGAAGACAGAGCACCAAGTAGATATCAAAGGAATATGGCAGTGGCAGTATTAGAAACATAAGAGACAAATAAAAGGTATGGTGTAGCATGTCGCGGTCCAAGCCGACCATGAATAGAACCCCCCAAAAAGCAAACGACAGACAGATCAAACCTTCAACCACAGATTCAATACACCCTTGAGATACTCGACAATCTCGTGCCCGCCCAACTTACTCTCCCCGTACAGCCGGTCGACAAAAGTAATCGGACACTCGGCAACCTTGAACCCCATTGCCTTGGCCCGCACCATCATCTCCATCTGGAAACTATACCCCTTGCTCTGTGTACTGTGGATGACCTTCTCCAGAACACTCTTCTTGTACAGCCGGAAGCTCCCCGTCAGATCACTCACACCAGGCATAAGCATAACATCCGCAATCAGGTTCGCCGTCCTCGACGTGAACTTCCGGAACAGATCCCAGCCGTACACCCCACCCTTGATGCCGTCGTGGCTCGCATACCGCGTGCCCGTGACGATGTCTGCGTCCGTCGCCTTCTGGATGCGAATCATCTCGGGGATGAACTTGGGGTGGTGGCTGAAGTCCGCGTCCATGATGATGACATAGTTGCCGCGGACGTACTGTAGCCCGTGCACGTATGCGGTTCCCAGGCCTAGCTTGCCGGCCCGCGGCTTGAGGTTGATGTGTTCGGGGCCCCAGAGGGCTTGCAGCTGTTTGGCGACTTCGAGGGTGCCGTCCGGGGAGCCGTCGTCGACGATCACGATTTCCCAATCTAGGTTGCTGTAGGGCAGACACAATTAGCCTCTTGCGATTGATTGAGAAGGCAGCCAGTAAATTGATTCTTACTTCTCGCGGAATGTTCGCTCGAGTAACCAGCAGATGATAGGGAGGTTCTTGCGCTCATTGTACGTCGGCAGGATGACCGAGTACTTGTTCTTTGTGTCGGTCATTTTACTCTAAAATGATAAAAATAAATGGTCAAATAGAAAGATGATAATCCGAAAATAGAATCAAAACACCGGAATTGAGCACAAAGGGCAAAGAGTGAATGGTGTTGGCCGAGTCCCCTGAGAGGCTGTAAGTTACCCCCGAACTGGTGCGGGAGCTCCGCGTTCGTCGTTATCAAATCATACAAGTGGCCTCAGCTCGACTCGACTCGACTCAAAAAGCACCGCATCACACCCTGACTCGAATCAACATAGACGGTGAGAGCCAGCCTGGAATGACAATTATCGCATCGTCAGTTTATACGCGAATCTGATCATCATCAAGATGCAATTTCATTCAAAATCAACTTATGGTACACACGTCATTCAGCGCACACTGCGACCTTATCATGACTTTCGACTTGGGCGGTCTACAAGCATCAACTCATATAAAGACCAGAGACTCAAGCGCCCGGTAAGATAGTCAGCCAACAGAACTACTCAACCGCATCAACATCAGCATCCAACCCCCAGCTCAAACCAACCATCCCCGAAACAAGCAGCAACCAAACCACCCCGCCCCCTCTATTTGCCAGTTTTCCAAGACACCTTCTGCACATTCCCATCATCCTCTAGCTTGTTATATGCTCGGTCATGTCGATTCTCGATCTCCTCATTATGCCGCTTCACCTCCTCGGGCACATCCGGACGCGGGTTCCCCTCCTCGTCGACGTTGGGCGACTGCCCTTTGCTGATGGCCGGCCGGGCGTTATTCGACGGTCTGCTCGTGGCATGCGGGTACACCTCAGCGCCGTCGTTGTTGCGGCGGGTTTCCTCGTCTGAGGGTGGTTGGTTCTGGAAGCTGGGACCACCGCCGGATGGCGAGGATGAGGTTGAAGGTGAAGATGAGCCCTTGCCCTTGCTAACGTCCGGGGGAGGGGGTCCTGCGTCGCGGTCAGCATCGAGCTGAACCATTATACTGACCAGCCCAAGATCAAGCAGGGCGAGCATCCAGCTACAAAGGCGGGAGACTCACCTGGATGTTCCATATCGCGCGTAGGCTTGCTCGTTTTAGCTTCTGCTTTGCCTTCTGCTTTCTGTTCACCTCCACCGTAGGAGCTCTGAGAGTAGAACCGCCATGGTTGAGGGAAGAGGCTTCTCTGGCGGCAAATCGGGAGAGTCGAGGACCTGAGTGCCTTCGATGAGAGGCTACTGCGGAGAATTGGATTCATTGTTGTAGTATATTGGAGTATATGACAAAGAATTGTTGTAACCAGGTCGAAAGGCACTGGGTTAAGGTACTCGGAAATGTATTTATATCAAGAAACCGATCGCCCGGATCATCAACAACCGGTTATTTCATCGCTATAACCCTCCCAAATGCCGATTCATATGAGCCTTGGTGTGGTGGCGTGCCGTGTCCTGTTTGGATCGGGGACAATGACGTTTGAGCACAGTCATCTCCGTTGCGGATCACTGGTTCACCTGGATGCGGCCAAGCCATAATTTCAAACTCTTTGAAGCGTGCGAAGGTCTACAATTTCGAATTACGAATCTCGGGCTTATTTAATTGTCCCGTCCCATTGACCGTGGAAAGACAATTTGTGATGATATTGCCATCATACTAGCGCTGTAACCCAGATATCTTAACCAGTAGCTGCAACAAAAACAACGGAGATCAAGCATAGACAGAAAAGAGACCAGCCCAAAGCATAAATGACAGGAAGGTGCCTTTTATGCACTATAACCTCCGTGTGAACGCCGTGGAATGATATCCCCAGACAGGAAATGCTAGAAGAGAAAGGGATATTCGAGCTTAGAAGTCGAGTCAGAACACTCTGGCAGAGAACATAAACCGAGAACGCGTCAGATGAAAAGAAAGAAACCTCGTAGGAATAAAGATGCACGCCAATGTCAGAGAATAAATTGGGATCAATCGCCCATGGCTGATTAAGTCGTGAAGGTCATGCATGGCACAGCTACCTGCACCTTTGAGAACGCCAACGCCTCGACCGAAAGACACATTCCATGATAAGAGATTTGCATATCAACAAGCCGACCTAATCGGTCAATGATGCGCAGTAGCACACACTTTCATATTGTGCCTTGGCTGTGTAGGTTTGAGTCGCACTGCCATAGCCTTTAAGGGTCGTTGTCGGTGTCGGTTCGACTTCCTTGATCTCAATTCGCTCGGGGGAAGCCGTTGCTATCGATCCGTCGTCCAACACCTGCATCTGCTGGCAGTAGGGCGCTCGGGAGCCAGGGTGGTTCCGCTTCTCCTCTATTTTGATCCGGCGAGGATAGTCAGATAAAAAATCAAAAGATGTCGTGCCTCTCTTCCCATTGTGAGCGGCCGGCGTTTCGGTCTGTGCGGATGAAGCCGTCGAGCTCTGCCGAGCATTCTTGGATGTTTGATTCGTGTACAAAAAGAATTCCATCATGGTGCCATTCCACCAACAAAACCACGGTCGATCGCCTGCTTTCACTGTCTGCTTGCGATGGAAAGATTCAGCCATCACGTCACGCTCTGAGACGGAGCGCTTCGACGCATAATTCGAAGAGAAGGTCCCCTGGGGGACAATAACCAGCTTGTCAAACAAGGTGAAGAAAGTAAGGGCAGGGCCTAGGGCCATGTCGCCCGAATCATAGGCTGGAGTCAGTTGCTGGGTCTGGGGCAAAATTGGCGCCTGGGCACCATAGGAAAATGAAGAACGAAGGGGTCGTTGTTCGAAAGTGATATTGTGCCGATGACCATCCTCTCCCTGAAGTAGGATCGGGATTTTGCTGCGGCCCATGCAGCCCCATGATGCCGTGTAAGCCGACTCAGCAATGCAAAATTTCGACTGGTTCTTGGAACTGGCCGGAATGACGAATTCGCCTGTCGGCACAGGCAACACATTCGCCGGCAACGACGAGATGGGCGTCGCATCCGCCCTGGGCGTAGCTGTCACCGTGACGATGTCAGGACCTTTGGCTTTCGAGCTCTCCTCGCTCGCCGCCTTTTTCGCCCCAAGGACGCCCCCAATGACACCTGCAATGCACGCTACCACAAAGATGACGATGCTGATAAGAACCAGTGTCCAGATCGGCAATCCGCAGCACACCCTCTTCTTGCCTTTACTTTTCAACTTTTCCTCAAACGCCATAACCCCCGTAGCGGGCGGCTCCTCATGCTCTTCAGGAGGGTCTCCATTTCCATTCACCGAGTTTCCTGCATTTCCCGCTACTAAAGTCCTAGAGGAAGTCTCTGAGACGGGGGCCTCTTGCGACGTACTATGCGCTATTTCTTCTGTGATGATGCCAGCACCAACTCCAGACTCCAGCGTCTCTTCCTCCTTCGGTAGGATCCCGTCAGGGTACCGCGAATAAGGAGGAAGTTGCTCGGTATGGCCATCAGGCCCTATGAGATCTCCAACATCGTCATCAGCACGGCCAGGGGGGCGCTGATAGGCTTGCTCGTGTCCGGGAAACCCGAGCGGGATCACCGGATTATGAATGGGAGTATCCAATCCCTCCTCTGGCACGACAGCTTGCGAATACATGGCATATGGGTGTTGCGGCGCGTTTGAATCGCCCAACGGTCGCTCCATCGGTCGTATAGTTGATGTAGTAGCAATGCTGGGCGATCGGCTGACACCGACCTGCGGATACATCGCATATGGGTGACTGGGACCAGTCGCTCCGGTGTAAGGGCTCATTGCGCGAGTTGGTAAGGAGAACCGCGAGGAAGTACTTTGACTGCGCCGAGCCACCGAGGCATCTGTGTTGCTGGAAGCAGTCGAGTCACGGGTAGAAAAATCCAATTCCCCTTTCTGGGGTAGACTTGATCGATGGGGGGTGTCATCGAAGGAGACCCTAGCATCGTCGCCAAATGGATTCTCCGTCACATCTGGAGGATCAATGGGCACGGTGTTGTATGTTTTCTGAGGTGGAAGGGCAGCCGAACGAAGCGTGTGAGATGAAACGGTGGACGAAATTGAGGGGCTGCGCGGAGTGAGGGTAGACTGTTCAGAGTCAATCGGTTCCAGCGAGTATTCATCTGAAAAGACATTGACGTTCGAGGAGCGACCGGAGGGAGAACGATGATGCATTGAGTCGGAATCCAGCCCTTGAGAGTGTCGTTGAGGGAGAGACTGCGAGGATTGCGAAAAGGAACGCGAGCGATCGGAAGAGAGACGCCCAGACATGGCGTTACACAGCCCTGTCGGGCCTCCTCTGATGTCCAGTCAGTCTGCCAGAGAGGGGGGTGGAAACAGTCACCTGAACGAGACTGTTCCGGGTTGACTGGAATCTAGGCAGATGGATGATGGAGAGGAACGGGATCAGAGCGGGCTGAAGCGAAAGGTTGGGACGTCGAGGGGGAGAACTGGATTATTCTCTCAAATAAAAGAAAGATTATACCAATTAAGATAAGGAATGAGGGATGGTGATGTTGATGTTGATGGTGATGTTAACGATGGGTGGTAGTGGTGTAGAAGGGTTTCACTGGGAGGAGAAAGAGGGAGAGACGGGGAGACTTGGCAATTGGTAGAATCCTTGGAGTACGGAGTACTGGTACTGTAGTGGCTAGGTTACCTTAGCGCACCAGACAAACTAAACTAAGGGAGTTGACTGCAAAAAGAGAGCCTCCGAACGAGCAAGACCATGGGGAGGGCGTGCGGTCGCAGAAACAATGAGAACATTTAATGTGGGCTCGTTTTCTGGCCTAGACGAAATTTTTGGACCATGAATTAGTTATCTTGCAGAGAATGGTAAGTCTATTTTTGTGCTCTTTTGAAGATACTAGTTCCTGCTCAGAAGTTTAGTTATTAGATATTTGTTGATGATGACATTCGTCCCCCATTCATTCGTATTTCTTACATGAATACAAATAATCGAAACTGCTACAAGGTAGGTACTTAACTAGATGCTGCGTGGTACTTTGCGGTGACTCGCCACTTGCAACTGTCTCTAGAAGAGCCAACCCAGCTTACCTACCCACAATTGTCAAACAAATGATCAATACAACAGCCGACATTATCAGTTTTTCTGTTGGTTTTACGGCTATCAAGGTACTACCTTCAGAAGTACTGGGATGAAGCCATCCATTACCATAAGGTGAGGGCGTTACTCTCCTTGAATTATGACGAAGCCAAGCTGTAATTAGGTTACAAGCCTGACCTTCCAAATCTGAAACAAGTTAAAATACGCCATAGATAATAGCACCCTATGAGGATTGAGTATCGCCATTCCGGATGTCCATTTCCTGCAATGATGATATGATGAACGAGATACATACTAACAGTATTTATGGCATCTTCCTCCGATCGACGTTTCTTCATTCTAGAGATATCTATGTACATAGAGAGGTAAAGAGGTACTAATGAACCGCTTTCAACGATATTTGAAAAATACATACAGGGTACACAGATATCGAGAGATTACCTATTTGCACAAAAGATGGTTAAAGAGTCTAAACCCCAGCCCCCACTACTCCTTCCAAAAGCCAGTTTAGTTACCATAGAAGGCAGCAGAACAGAACTAGATATCCAAGGTAGACTAAATTCGAGAATCGGACCGATGGGCGATTCTCCCGGCCACCAGTGGAACCCAATCTACCTCGAACGCCAAACTCTCTACCTAAATCTGAGTGGGCAGTGGGACGCTGAGGAAGTTCTCCGAAACGCCCTTGTCCGTTTTGATCCGTCCATTTATCTATTCAGATTATCCATTAACTAAGATATGGTAAGCGAAAAGTTGCATAGCTGACTGAAGAGCCCAACGGTTGTCATTGAATCTCTCACAATCCGCACAAGAGTCAGCGTGAAGGCATAGCTTTGGGGACAGGCAGAAAGGAAAAGAGTGTCGTGAGAAATCAATCTGCACGGAGAGCCATGATACTCTGCCGCCAGACAAGCATTTACATTCTTCATAGGGCAAGGTACCCGACGGTGACTTTGGTCGTCTCAGGTACCAGGCTGCCTCATCAAATGGACAGGAACCTCATTGGATCAGGAATCAAACTCTGACGTTGGTTCAGAGTGGTTTAGTACAGGAACATACATCCCTGTCCAATGGCATTGGATGTTGCCTTTTACTGCTCCGGATGAGAAGAGTTCATCCGTTTGATCCACCTTTGTTGATATTTTATTAGCTTCTTCGAATATGAGTGTTCGGGAATTGGCGTACCTTTCTACAAGTCTAGAACGTGAGGCCTCTCAAAGAGTTTGGTTCACTCATTAGGTAATATCTAGCTGAACCGCGATACCTGTACTCTTTTCTGGCAGAGCCTGTCACTGTCTCAATCAAGCACGGAGATGCAAGGTAGTCATTGACTTAATAACGAAAACAGAGCCAGTCATATCTGACGATTTGTGTCGTTATTTCTGTAGATATCGTATCGCTATATTTGACGTTGCATTGGTAGCGTGGAGGAATGCCGAGGATGTGGTATTCGACGAGCACACAGGAGTGGTTCTCCTCTCCCGATTAACGGTAAAGGCTGCTGTTACAACGAATATGAGGGAACAGTTACTCCGACCTCTGCGGCGCGCTTCTGCTTCGGCGACAACGGCTGTCCATGTTCCAGCACTTGTTTGACTGAAAGGCCGACTTTCATCGGATTGGTGATAGCTGGCGCTCTGTAGTCCCTAGCAAGGATGAAGGGTACCGGGGCCTCGCCCTTGCCCGGTGTCCCAAGAATACCAAAGCCGAGGAGACGACCGCTGCTGCCGGTGTGAAAGCGGAGCATGAGTGAGAAGCTGGAACGCAGAAGAAGCGGCGGAAAGTGCAGCGCGCGCTGCAGAAGCAGAACGGGAGACGGCAAGGTACTTCTCTTTGGTAAGGGTGCAGCTATCTCCAGGCAGGCCGTTCAAGGATTTCTTCGGAGCGCCAGGATATCCGACAATTTCACTTGCCCTTTTTCGCCCCAACCTCCTGGCCCACTCTGAACGTCCGGTCTCACGCGAAGGTACCAGGCCCAAGCACGTCTATCCAGCTCCTCTTTGCTGAGAGTGCTGGCCCAGGACTGGCAGACCAGGTCGATAGCTTGCAGTAAGTAGCCCAAGCAAGTCTCTTTCTCGGCTTCCAATTGCTTGACCGACTTGCGTTTTGTCTTGCCGGAGCCACTGTCAGTCTCTGCAGTCTCTGTAACCGCTTTAGTAAAGGATCTGTAGAGATATGTTTTTGCAGAATTCGGCGTGAAGATGGGAAGACTTGTATTGCCTTTCGCAGCAGAACTCGCGCGACTGCCCTGGGCACTTCGTACGGCTTCAAGATCCACGCCCCAAAGAGGGGGCGACGTGTCTGAGCCATCTGAATCTCCCTTGCCCAAGATCTCGGCAGAAGCGGCGGCAGCGTTCCCACCACCTTTCTCTGAACTTGGTTCTTCTGTTGGTCTTCCTTCTTGGGGATTATAATCCCACCGTTTTAGAACCTTGATCTCTCGCCCTAGGACTTTGACCACAGGATGGCCTTCACCCCAACCTTCTTGCTCAGCGGTTTTGCCGCTTTCAATTCCGAGGCTGATGGCCTTCGAGCGGCTGTTGGCACTGACTACAGCTTGAGCAAGGCTGAGTCTGCTGGAGATTGGCTGCTCTGGCATCGTGTATTTCAAGACACAGACTGCAAATGCGAGAACAAGAGGCGCCCTGTTAGTAAGCAGAATAATCCGCGACAGGTCATCTTCCGGCGTCGATGAGATAGGCAAAGAAAGTGCCGATTCAGTCTCGTACGGTGTGGTATCAATGCCAGCTGCTCCCCTGGCCCTTTTCTGTGGTGAGTCTGAATTGCCAGTTGGCGCTTGACGCTTTTTGGAGGCTCTCTTGGCAGCGTTCAGCACCTGTTTAGCGACTTTATCATCTTTGAAAATCTCCTGAAGAGGCTTGAGATCTGCTTTTGAAAGTTGCTCCACACTGCTCGATGTTAGATAACTGCATCCGATGGAGAGACTTAGAATGGTTCTCATACGATATTAGGTTGGCTTTCTGGAGATCCATGACTTTTCCCATGGCAGACGCCAATGGTAACTTGGCATCTTGTGACAAAAATCGCAACAAAGTCTGTATTTCCGCTGAGGCCATGGCTGCTGATGCTTTTCATAAGAGTAATTGTTATCAAGTTCGTATCGCACTGTATCGGATTCAAGCTGCTTTTGTTCTGCCTCAGGCTGCAACGATCTCCGCCTCCGCTCCGATAGCCTCTTTAACGATTGCAACTTGCGAGCAACTACGATACGCTACATCTACTGACCGTGAAGCTCACGACAAGTGATTTGCTGCATACGTGGCTCTTTCACGATGCCGGACGACGCAAAGTCCAAGGCTTTTCCAGATATCTCGGCCAAACTCTCCGCCCTCCCTAAGAAATCTCTCTTCGAACGTCAAAAGGCCGAAGCCGAAGCCAAGCGTGCCCGAGAGCAAGCAGAGACAGCTGCTGTTTACGAGGATTTTGTCAAATCGTTTGAGGATGATTCTCATCTATCCGATCGGATCACAACCGGAAGTAGACCGAACAACAACTTTGGAGGAAGAAGCGCCGCGTTTGGAGGTGGACCTGCGAAACGCCATTTTACCAGTTCAGGTCCTAGAAGCAGCGGCCCGGGGACTCTGGGACCTCCCCCGTCGTCGCTATCTCGCAAACGTCCTCATGAAGGATTCCAGCCGTTTCAGAGGAATAGAGAGTCAGCGCAGGGTATCTTAGGATTTGACAACACCGGTTCAGGATCGTCCCCCGCTGCGTCGGCTTTTCGCACTTCAGACGACGAGGAGGACAGGGCAGCCGATGCGAAAGAGGCCGAGAGAGCAGCGGCAAAGCCTACGCTTTATCTGGCTTCACTACCTCCCGGAACTTCTCCTTCCGCAATCAAATCGCTCATTCCATCGGTGTTATCTGTCGACAACGTGAAAATCCTCCGCCCCTCCAACCAGTCTCCGACCGATCGCAAGTCGATTTCCGCCATTGTCACTCTTGCGAATGAATCTGCTGCCTCGGACATAGACTCTACCGTCAGTGCACTACAAAACAAATACCTAGGATGGGGATACTATCTTTCGATTTCACGGCATCTCTCCTCTGCCGCGATCAGTTCCTCGATGCCGGTCACCGTGGGTCCGTCGTCAACAAGCTCTCTTCCATTCGGTGCGAAGACCATTACCCCCGAGTATGGAGGCCGCTTGAATCGTGCCCCTCCTCCTGGGTCTCACCGTGGTGGCTTCGCGCCCCCAACCTCGTATGGAGCAGCATTCGGTCGCAGTGGACCCGTCACACAGGTGGAAGTGAAAACACCTACAGATCTGAAGCAGCTGAGGTTGATACACAAGACCTTGGAGAACCTATTGAATTACGGCCCAGAGTTCGAGGCTCTACTCATGAGTCGGCCGGAGGTCCAAAGAGATGACAAGTGGGCGTGGCTGTGGAATCCAAGAAGCGCCGGAGGAGTGTACTATCGCTGGAAACTATGGGATATACTCACTAACAGCCATCCTAAAGAGGCTCGGCGCGGTAGGAGTCACAATGCATCGTTATTATTTGAGGGTGGCCCAAGTTGGGTATCGCTGGAGACGGGCATCAAGTTTGAATATACCACACGCATGGATGAGTTTGTTTCCGATGAGGATTACAATTCGTCCGACGAAGAAATGTCAGACGGGGAGGATGAGAGACGACACCTAGGGGGCGCTCCGCCAGCCGATGGAGTTGGTACTGGTAACGAAGGACTCGGTTACATGAACCCGCTACAGAAAGCCAAACTCACACATCTCCTTGCTCGGCTCCCGACCACTCATGCGAAGTTACGGAAAGGTGATGTTGCGCGTGTTACAGCATTTGCCATTGGACATGCTGGCGCAGGCGCGGAGGAAGTGGTGGAGATGATTGTCCAAAATATCATCAACCCCTTTGCATACACTGGGGCCAATCCTGACCGCGAGATTGAAAAGGGTCTCGCTCGGCAGGAAGCCACCAGAAATGAATCCAATGACGCTTCGGGTGAAGATGCCCCATCGTCGTCTAAAAGCAACATGGATACATCTTCCGCCAAGCTGGTCGGGCTTTACCTTGTCTCGGACATCCTTTCGTCATCTGCCACGAGCGGTGTGCGCCATGCTTGGCGCTATCGACAGCTCTTTGAATCAGCATTAAAGACCCACCGGGTCTTCGAGCACCTAGGTAGACTCGAAAAAGACCTAAACTGGGGACGGTTACGGGCTGAGAAATGGAAGAGAAGCGTAGGCTCACTGCTGCATCTCTGGGAAGGGTGGTGCGTGTTTCCGCAGTCGAGTCAGGAACACTTCTCTCAGGTATTTGAGAAACCGCCGCTTACAGAAGAGGAACTTAGGGAAGAGAAGGCGAAAGCGGAGGCGGATCGGGCTGCTGTGGCGTTTTTCAAGGGCAAGAGTCGCTGGAAGACTCTGGAGGAGGACGAAACAGCCGGCAAATTCGACCCCTCGCGTCCTCCTGCTCAAGCAGATCAGAGCAGAATGGACATCGACCAAAGTCATCTTCCTTCAACAGCAGGAGGTGATCTGGCTGGAGAGCCTATGAGTGATATAGACGGAGAGCCTATGGAAGACAGCGATCTAGAAGAAGCACCGGATGGAGAGCCACTGGAGGAGGATTCGGCCATGAAGACCGAGCAGAAAGAAGAGGCGCCCAGCAAATCCGAAACTCCATCTCAGCTCGAATCCGGGCCTCCAGCTCGAAAACCACGGCCGAAGGCAGAGGACATGTTTGCGGATTCCGACACGGAGTGATGCACTGTTATGTAGAATTGACGATCATTGATGGGTCCAATTCATACTATTTTCGTAGGCTTGCCAAATATTGTGTATCATTTTTAGGCAAATTTCGTTCGTAGCCCAGGAAAGGCAGCATTTAGCGGCGCAGAGAAGGCCGTAATATAGTGTGATGTTCAGGCAGGAACATTTATCGGCGGGCGATAAAAAGACGCTCCAAGCCTCACGGTTCAGGGCCCACACCTCTCCCCTCTCGGACTCAAATATCAACTTGCGATCCGTCTCTTCTCAGACTACCAAAAATCCCTTTCTTATTCCTCTTTTTGGTTTCGTCCGCTCTGAAGTAGAGTATATTCATCAAAATGGCCGGTAAGTCTTGTCCCACAACATTCCTGACCTGCGTCATGCCTTTGTTGATGGCTATTATTTTGCTTGGTGTTTTGCTGCCCCTCCTCCCTAACCCCTCCACAGCGGTTGAGGCCAGCCGCATGCACGACCGCCATCCTTCACAATGCATATAATAAGAGAAAATGTGAACTAACTTATCACAAATGCTTAGACTTCCAGAGCATTGCACGTACGTGTTCCTTAGTTGACCCCGGATGCACAAACACGGCCAAGAGATTCTGACCCTTCCCCCTCTCAATCAATAGAGCAGTTCGTGCAATTCTACTACCAGACTTTCGACACCAACCGTCAGACGTTGGCCAGTCTCTACGTATGATTACCGCATCACCGTCGCCATTTTGCGAAACTGAATATCCCCCGGAAACTGACCACGACGGACAAACATAGCGTGACCACTCTATGCTTACCTTCGAAACCTCCTCGGTCCAGGGTGTCAAAGACATTATCGAGAAATTGACGGTTCGTTTCCCCCTCTCGTGAGATTCGGTGATAGCGCAGAGGGTTAATATTGCGACAGTCTCTTCCCTTCCAGAAGGTCCAGCACCAGATCGCGACCTTCGATGCTCAACCTTCGAACACGGAGGGCGGCATCATGGTCATGGTCACTGGTGGACTGCTGGTACGTTAGGCCTTTTCCGTCTGGTTCATTGTGGTATGGTTGTGGTACTGATATCAAACAGGTCGATGAGGAGCAGAAGCCCATGAGCTACTCTCAGACTTTCCAGCTTCTTCGTGAGGGTGATGGCTACTATGTCTTCAATGACATGTTCCGAATCATCTACCCTGCGTAAAGGAATTGATGTGAAAGGATTGCGGGTTGGTCAGAAGGGCACTGGGTGAGACTTCTGGTGGCGGGAAGGAAATGGTCACATTACGATAATGAATACGAGAGAAGTTAAGGCATGTCTTCTAATGGATGCTGCACAACGGCAGTCCAAATGTTGCATGCACCCGAAAGCATTTATTCTATCGTCGGTTTCGTCAAATGAATATAGTTGGTGAAATTTCTACTCTTCTATGTTAAAAGACATGGAATTGGTTCGCTGATACGGTCTCTCCTTCGTGGTTTCAACAAAATGCAGCTCGAGCTGCTCAGCAGCCTCGGGAAAGGTCTAGTGATTGAACTGGATACAGTCTAGGGGAAATCTAAAGCAAAACAAGCCGAAAGTTACCCGTTCCTGATGCGAAAGCTCGGCCGATTCTGCGCTAAATAGATCACTGACCTCGGAGAAGTGGCGTTTCCTCAGATGGCTGCTCATGGTCTCTTTCCTCTGAGCCTTCTCCAGTACCGTTCGGGGGAAGATCTTTGCCATGGCGATGGTTGCGCTGCTTGTTGGGCCCAAAATATTCAAAAAAGATAGCCAGTACCAAGAGCGTGCCTTGTAAACACGCCGTCACAATCAACACGCCCCATGTGCTCCACCCCTTTGGTCCCAGTCGTGCAGCTAGACTGCCAGCCCACACAAGACTTCCCGGAGTTTGGATACACATCATGGGAATGCTCAGACTACCCACACACCGCAACTTCAAAGTAGTGTAGATCTGAGGGAAGTACTGGATCGAAGCGAGGATGGCAGCGACCACCCCTGAGAAGTTGGACCATGCCTGAAGCTGAGATGGTCGGTTGACTGCGACTGCAACGGAGGTGATGAACATTACCACGGCGTGGAGGATACAAATACCGCTGACAATCAAGGCTGTTCTATATGTTGGGCCATTCCTCGCCGAAGATTCTGATTCTGTAGGCGAGGTTGGAGAGGTGGCTCGGGGGAAGTAAATGACGAATAGAAGCAGGCTGTAAACGATCTTGCATTAGCCACACGAACGCTATCGGACAATTAGGTGAGCTGACATGGTAACAAAGCAGAGCCACTGTGTCCCGACTTGGAAGATGCCGAGTAGTCCCCCGAAGCAAGCTAGTCCATTGATGTTCTTGCAGCATGCCACATCCTGTAAACTCTGTTGTTGGGTCGCAACATTTGCGAACGCCGAGGTACCTGAAGTGGTTCCCAGTAGGATAAAATATGGCGAGATCCCGAAGGAGCTTCTGAGGTTGATTATGCGAATATGCTGAGGGAGATACGACAGGAGAATCCCGAATATAATCAGACTGTGTTCATTAGTTGAAGGTCACAGGAACCAGCGCAGCATCTTCGGGATCATACATAGACAGGACAAAGTTCTTATAGTCTGGTGAGGTGAGATGGGTGCATTCGAGATCGAGGGTGTCCATGTTTATTGAGCGAACGCAGCAGGCTCAAATTCTTCGGTTGAAGGTATTATATAGCAGTTCAGCCGAACGTGAAGTGAACAGGAGGCTTATCTCCTTAGTTGCTATCTTCGGAGAGCTGTAAGCTTGCTAGTCGAGTCTATCAAGAGGGCATTTCGTGATCAGAAAGTGACTAGAGAATCATCCTAAGTCCTGCTTGCTCAGACCAATATCAAAAGTTCATGATAGTGGTGGTATCTGTTGGTGTAGAGGAAGGGTGATGAGTCCCTTACAGCTGCTAAACATGGATGCGATAACAAGAGGTCTCCGCTTTTCAGACTACGCTAACTTAATCAGTAGCTGGGCGGCCTAAGGGATCCTACGGAGTAGCTTAACTGTATTACTGTCAGGTAGGGTGTTTAGTCTAGTGCCTATCTACGGAGCGCATCTGCCGCATATTTAGTATCTTGTATATTTAGATGGATACTGGCTGTCTTCAAACCAAGCGGGTCCTAGAAAGCAAAAGCCTCTGCAAGAACAATAATATGTTGCTCATTGAGGCTAGAGCTCAGAGGAAGCTCTGTCGATGACGCCAGTACTTGAACTCACAACACAGAAGCATGGAAACCGGCCACCACTCAGCAGCACCTACGTCACTCGTCTATCATCTCCTCCAAATGCATCATATTGCCAACATCTGCTCGCTCTCGGTTTCTCTTTCAACCTCAATTCTCTTACCATTTAAGTGCATGGTATCCCCGAAATATACGTGACTTTTTAATTGTTTCTTTTCCTCAAGAAAGTACCCAAGCAGTCACCCCCCTTGTAAGCGACACCACCTTCATTCACACCTCAAATAGAGCTTCAACGAGCTTCCTCTTATTAACATCGCCACACAGGATCTATACGAGTTGAGATTCGCGATCATATAGGAGTGATTAGAGGAAACTACCTTCAGGATGAGACTCAATATAGGCTCCAGCCTAGTCTTCTTCCTCGCGACCACGCAGGCGGTCGGAGCGTTCAACTGGCTCAGCAAAGCAGGTGTGTTTGAAGCAATCCATTTCCCTTTAATCTCAGCAGCCCTTCTAAGGCTCTCGTGCTAACCATATGACTCTAGCTTACAACAAATGGCACGAAACTGAATTGGAACGATGGCTCTCCGATCATGGTTCGCATTTTCCTCGTTGATACCCTAAGCATACACGCGGCTGACGATGATCCAGACATCCCTTATCCCACCCCGGCCGACCGAAAAGATCTCGAAAACTTGGTTAAGTCCAACTGGGACTCCAAAGTTCAGAAGCCTCTGGGACATGCAGCCGATAATAGCGCTGACCAGTGGCATCATGCCAAAGAATGGATTTTTGATACGTGAGTAATCTGCGTTGTTGACGTATGATTGCAACAACTCTGCTAACACACCCATAGTTGGTCAGACTCTCATCTCAAGGCATTCCTTGATCGCCATGGCGTTCCTGTTCCTCAACCTCGCAAGCGTGACGTGCTCCTGAAGGCTGCTCGTGAAAACTACGAGGCCATCGCCAAAAAAGTTGGCGAGACTGCGCACTACCCCGGTAACTGGCTTTACGAGCACTGGACTGAGTCCGATCTGAAGGAGTGGCTGGATGAGCGTGGTTGGCCTGTGCCTCAGCCAACAACCAGGGACAAGCTTATCGCAACTGTTCGTCGCAATGCCAGACTAGCCAGTCTGCAGGCGCGCAGCATCGCGGCCTCCGCCACCAAATCAGCCGAAGCTGCGCAGTCGAGCTTGAGTGAGGCATTGTTCAATGCTTGGTCCGACTCCGACTTGAAGAAGTTCCTTGATGAGCACAACGTCAAGGTGCCCCAGGGCTCGAAGCGTAATGAGCTTATTGCTTTAGCCAGAAAGCACCGTGCCTCTCTTGTGAGTCAGGCCTCCGTTGCTTCCAAGACCGCTTCCGAGTCCGCGACAAGCTTGATCGGCGCTGCTACGTCCAAGGCTGGCAACCAATACACCCGCGCAACCGATCAAGCCAATTTGAAGGCCCAGGATGCGTTCGATGCGGCTGTTGAGACATGGTCAGACTCTCGTCTGAAGGCCTACTTGGATGCACGCGGAGTTCCTGTTCCTCAGTCGAGCAAGCGCGACGAGCTTCTTGCCAAGGTCAGACTGAACAAGCACAAGGCCGCAACCGGATGGACTGCCTGGACCTTTGACACCTGGAACACTGACCAGTTGAAGTAAGGAGAACCCCTTTGTCCGTGCCAAATCACATTTTTCTGACTTCGCTCGTAGGAAATACCTGTCTTCCATGAACGCCAAGGCTGCTCACCGCGCGGACATCACCCGCGATGAGCTCATGAAGCAGGCTCAGGAGGCATACGCCAAAGCCTCCAAGGCTGGAGGAGCAAACCTGGCATCTGCCACCTCTTACATGGCTCAAGCCACTGCCGCAGCCAAGGACACGACGTTTGACACCTGGTCCCGCTCCGAGCTCAAGGCATATCTTGATTCCTATGGCATTCCCACCTACCAAGGTTCTAGTGTCAACGAGCTGCGCGCCGCAGCCAGACGTCATGCCCAATACTTCCGATACGGAACCACTAGCCCACAGGGTATCCTTTACTCCAAGCTTCAGGAATGGTCCCAATGGGCGATGGACCAGCTGAAGATTGGAGCCTCGAGTGGCCGAGCTCAAGGCCAGGAGGCCGCCGAGAAGGCGAAGGCGAAGGCTTCAGAGGGCGCCGAGAAGATCCGCTCGGAACTCTAGATTTCTTAACGAATGATGATTGTATTTTACTTTCATTAATGAGGTTTGCAGGACGGGATTGGACTGGAGGCTTTTCTTAGGTTAGTCTTGTTTTTATGGAAGTCACGATGATTCCGAAATAGTCTTTGCGGCCATCTTTTGCAATGTCACAATTACCATGCAATGTTTAGTCTAATAACAAGGAAAAGTTATTGAAAGACTATGTAGACCGATGTTTTTTGTTCAACTGCCTCTGGTCCCATAAATCATTTGCTTTTGATGGGGGCATCTGCCAGCTGAAGGGAGAAAAGTGATTTAACAGACATTCTTCGTATATCATGACACGAAGATCCTTTTCTAGACATGATCATGAAATCCTAACGCTTCTTTTTATTGGTACTCCGCTTCGTATCGTCCTGTCAACAGCCCGACGCGGTAACTCGCCAGACAGAGGGTAAATGCGCAGCCGGACACGTTCCTCGTAAAGTTGCTACAATAGTGATGGACACCGTTCACGACTTTGGCGCCTCTGGATCACCCTCTGCAACTAACTTACCCACAACAAGATACTTCTCCAGGAACCGCTCCTCCCAGGACTGAAGGTTCTCCAACTGCTCCTCCTCGAGATCCTTGAGGTCGTCCAGCGGACCCTTTAGATCTTTAGTGAGCATCTCGACATCGAAGCTCTGGTGCGCCAAACCACGCGATGCGTCGCGACCGGCAAAGTTCTCGTATGGTCCGCCCTGGAGTAGACAACGAGTATCAGTTGATTGGTCTTGAGATATCAAGGTCTAAGGCGCAGGCATACAGGGCCGTAGAAGTTCTTGCCTGGGGTCACGTCGAAGACTCGTCCACGGACGGCAAGGTAGACGGGTTTATCGCCTTCGCCATTGTACTCGAGGAGAGTTGTTGGTGTGAAAGTGCGGAAGACGACGGGTGGGGGAGCTTGCGGGAGGGTGACGGGTGCCTTGGGCCGAAGTTGCATGTAGACCAGAATTGCGAAGAGAGACAGGAGGATGAGGTTAATGGGGGTCGCGATTGACATTCTTGACCGATGGAGACGTCAGCCATGTTCATGTTTAGGGCTTCTTGAGAGGTGCTAAGGCAGGAACGTACACTTCCGCGGGCGGGGGAACCGCACCATCTCCTGGCAAGTGGTAAGCATTTGGTTCTATCCAAGTTTCGACGAGGAGGAATACCTGCTGAAGCCATTTTAAAGTGTAGAAAGCGACTAGCTGAGTTCTGGGTTGACTCCAAGACGGCTCTAGTCGACGTAGAGACGGGATGGTGATGACGATGATGATATGGAGTCCAGAAGTCGAGAGTAAGCCGTCATGACGGATGTCAACTTCGGCTTCCGACCGTGGAATTTGCGGAGATTACCTAGTTCGGTAAGGTATCGGCAGGCTTAAATATTACACACCAGCTGTGGCGGCCTAACTTTTGAGGAAGCAATGTCCCTAACTTTGATATTTTGATAGACAGTTCGTTGTTGAATTGAGATGCTAGTTATTCTTAACTTCACTAGTCGGATGTATTTCTATTAAAGCTTGGACTTTGTAGATAAGGGTCTTAGCTGAGTTACTCCTGAATTACTTGTGTCCTAGGTAGCTTGCTCCTCTGGGCTCTACTCCCTTAGATGGTCCTAATAATAACCACATCGAAATTAACTACGGAGTTATTATTGTCACAGGCTCACAGCCAAGTTAGACTAAACTACAACGGAAATCTGAAACAGGGTCATCTTACTTTAGTGCCGACAGAGAAGCATGCGCTCAGTGCTGTCATGCTCACTCTGCCACCAACTTCTTCTTTTCATCTTCTATTGTTTTGATTGATTGATTCATTGCTTGCTTTCATCATCCGTGGAGGGCTTCTGTTGGCCGTGTTCAGCAGCACGTTGTTGTCAGGTTTCTTTCTTTCTTTCTTTCTTTCTATCTTTCTATCCTTTCCTTTTATTGGTTTGACTGATCACGCCCTCAGTCTTTCTTTCGGGCTCTCTCATATTGTGTCACTCCTTGCTTTCTTCCTTTGCATTTCCTTGGATACACTCCATTCCCAGTCAGCTTGATTGGAGTTGCTCGAGCCTTCTCCAGCTGCATTGACTCCTTTTTCATTTGGTGACATGCGGGCATGTCAATGCGTACGGTCAAACCAGGCTGATTACCTCCCCTAAGCTGGTTGCCTTCATTCCTTGTTCTCTCGCTTTGTAGATAAGAGGTATGTCATAGTGAATACCCCTGCTCTCTCGTGTTTCTCTGATTCACCTAAGCGAGTCTCCTGAATCATACCTACTTCGGGGAGAACACTAACCATCGGACTATCAGTCAGGATACTTAAACTTCGGTCAGAATGTGGGGGAAGGTGTCATTTCATCGCTCGCGGAAACCAGTAATTGAGACCCCCAAGTTGGTCAAGAAATCTTCAGTTGATAACGCGTGTCAGTCTTCGGGTTCCGGTGCTCGAACAGGCGAGAAACTGCCCAAAGGCCTACCATTCATACCACAGTAAGTGTAAATTGCAAGTGGCTGTCAGGTTGGCGGGGCGTCTGCTGACAATCACAGGTATCCCTCGGACTCGACCTCTTCTGCGAATAGATCAGAACTAGGTCGTCGTGTTACCTCGTCCATTTATTCTCGGGACACTTTCGACCACAGTCGCCAGCGTTCAGTCACCTGGGACCATCAGAACGATGGCAGGTTTTACCAAGACCCCGAAACTACCTCAGAAAACCTAAGTGTAGAGATTTCACCTCCGGACTCGCCCCTTTCTATTGGTCGTGCATATCACAGTCGAGGTAGCTCACGTGTCTCTTCTCTCGAGATTGAGACAAATCAGACGTCCAACGGAGAAAACAACATCACGAAGTTCGCAAGCCATTTGCCAGTCCCACGTAAGCGGGCGGGCTCTGGGCAACCTGACAACAGACCTTCGACGCAAGGTCTCTCAAGTCAGAATCGCACAACACGATGGGATGATTTCTCCGGTGCACCAACCACAAGCCACTCAGATAAATTCGCACCCAACCATTCCATAGATATCTCCTTTGGATCACAACACACAGGATCAAGCAACGCTTCCAGATGGATCAAGGGCAATGGTCATTCAAGAGAAGAGGACACAGAGGGCCGGCAACGGTCATCGTCAAAAAATGATAATCCCTTTTCTCTAGCAGTGCGTGAACCTTGGAAGGGACCAAGTGGGCGATCTCCAATGATAAATCTGATCCAGGAGAAGCCAAGAGAGAGATCGTCATCACGTGTCCAACAATCAAAGAATAACGATCGCAACGATCGATCAAAGGAAAACGACCCTGCATCCCCAGACTATTCATACCTCGGTTTCGTCCCGTCGGTAGTCACAACAATTACCGGAGGCCCAGATAATACCCTGGGACCGGACAAACGCCAGCCTAGCAAAAGTCGCCAGCAACCATCAATTGCGAAGAAACCGATACCTTCCTTCAGTGCGGCAAGCGATGTTCCACCCCGTATCGAAATTCCAGGGCCCACTCTGGAAGCCACCCTCGCTGAGTTGAAGCTGTCCACCGGAGACCAGGCTCATGCACCCGTCAGTCGCTTCAGTGCAACCACCTGCGCCACAACGGAGAGCGATAGCCCTACACCTAGCCGTCGTGAGAGCGTCGATGCGGCTTCCCAGTCCACAGAAAACGCACACTCAATTATGTCCCGCAAAAGACCTATCCCCAGTGCCGCGGCTCCGGGGAAGAAGCCAACAAGGAAGCCAACCCCTTCCCAGGCTGACAATGGCAAGGACCTCCCCCCGTGTCCACCAGAACAACAAGCTCAAAACCGTATCGAGATGCTGGAAGCAAGGAGGGACAACCTCGCACGCCGTAGGGCAAACATTAACACAATAATTCACGAACTGACCCAGGTCATCCAGCCTAGCTCCATTGCCTACGACATGGCTGCCCGGGATGAGGTCAAGAAGACTGTCAGCAGCCTCAACAACGAATTAGCCGATATCAAGAGAGAGGAGCATGAGATCGGCATGAAACTATTCAGACTTTGGAAGAAACGCGACGAGCAAGACTTGTATGGTGGAGACAGCGGTTTATGGGTAAAGCGGGTGACCAGCTGAAGGAAAGCCTTTTTTTCCAGTCAATTTCGGGTTCGAATTTCTGCGTTCGACTGTTATGATTCGACTTTCGTTGGTAAAGTGTCGCCTTGTCTGATTTGTTTCCTTTTGATTTCCAGTACACCGCCTCTGAATGTGTGTTGGTTGAGCCATACCCCCTTTCTGTTCTGTGAATACCCTTTTTATTGGCGCGACTCAAAGTCGGGAAATTCGCTCTTCGCGTTACTGTTACACTGCTGGCAGATCATTCAGATTTATCCTGCAATTATTCAAAAGGACGCCAGTGATACCCCTTCCGTACTAATGAGAATTTCTGATCTCCAAGTTCAGGTGTCGTATTTTCCCTGTGCGCTATGGATCGGCATTCATTCTGCTGATTAAAGCAAATGATGAGCGCTTCTTTCACTATTATGGACAAGCATTGATTTGAAATGATTATCTCTCAAGAAGTGAATATGCTCGGGTAATAAAAGTTGCATAATCAATGCCAACATGGATGCGCGCCACTGGTGCGGTCGTAGATCATCATGGCTCGTTGCATATCATAACGTTGATTCGCAGATCATTTGAGAAACAATTTATTTCTTTCCCGATTTCTTGATACCCTGCTGCCCAGTATTCAGTGGGCCTTTGCCTTTCGCCTTTTCCAACAATTCCTTCTTCGCCTTGGCCTCTATTGTCCATCAACAACAGTTAGCAAATGCGCTGGCCCAGTTCGCATCAACGAACACAAGAGGACGACATACCGGCTCTCTGCCTCTCCTTGAAGGCCAGATCATCCTCATCGAGGTCCTTCTTCTCCTTCTTGGCCGCCTTCAAGGGTTTGGCCTTGCCGCCTGGGAAGCAAATGAGTTAGATGACTGTATCGTCCACAGGGGAGCGACGGCATACCTTCTCTGCTTGAACCACCCATTGTGTAG